ACTCTACGAGAGGTTTCCGTCCTCTCTGAGCTAGCCTTAGGACACCTGCGTTACGTTTTGACAGATGTACCGCCCCAGTCAAACTCCCCGCCTGACACTGACTTCGGTGCGAGTCGTTAAACCACCGAGTAGTTTAACTTAAACGGACATTACTACTCGTACGCCAATAACTATCCGCAATTATTTCCAATCGAGGTCTGCTCATTCCTTTAGTTGGAGCCAATCTGGATTTGGCTAAAATTAGTGATGTTTTCACCCTTAAAATGTTGCTGTTTAGAATATATATCGCTGTTGCATATGTTACGTTTGAAGCATCCGTGAAGACATAAATTTGCATTCATTTCGTAGAGTTTATGGCCATCCGCGGTATTTCGATAACATCTATTGGCCATTTCTTGATGGGAGACTTCCACATTTCTTCATCCTCTTCGTTTAGAATTTCATCCCAAGTTTTATTCCTTTTTCATAAGTTTTGACGAAATAATTTGAGTAATATCATCGCGACTAAAAATTCTAGATCGTACTGAGAAGCCACAAATCGTAGAATGCTTCGCTTTGTGTTCTCCTGCTCATTTTATGGTCTAAATGTCATCTAATTATGTCTGTCATGTATTCGAGTGATGCCGAGAATTTTCGTTGGGCCTCTACTAACTCGGTCTTGCTTGGCTATCCCCTTATTGATGTTTTTGTCGTTAGAAAGAAATTCCCGAATATTCATTGCTGCTTCCTTAAAAATACTCTTCATTTCATGGTATTTCTCCAGCGCTTCTCTCGTTCCTCTAGCTGATAGGATAATGTTGTCCACGTACAAATTTTTCCTGATCTCCAACGTAGTCTTATTGCCACTGATTTCTAAATGATGATTCAGTGTTGTAGAAAGCAGGAAGGGTGATGTGATTACTCCGAAGGGGACTCTTCTGAAGAGATGACACTTTATATTGTCTTCAATAACTTGTTTTTCAATATCCTTTATCCAGAAAAATTTGGTAGTTTCTGTCAATTCTAATAAAAATGCCTTCCCTACGTCTGCTCTAATGACGTTCCTCATTATTCGAAACAGGAGTATTCCGACCAAATCAGGAAGCATTGCAGGTCCACGATACAGAACATCGTTTAAGCTTTTCGCACCTTTGAGATCTGCCGAAGCATCATGAACAATTCTCAGTTTCGTCGTTTTGTTTGGGGTTATAACCTCGTGATGTGGCAAATAGTGAATGACGTCTTCCTGAGTCATTTCGGGATGAACTTCGATGATTTCCAATTTAAGTTGATCTCTGATAGATTTATCATACTATGTCATAAGGCGCCCTACGCATTGTCCATAATGACCTTAATTTATTCTTTGATCCTTTCCATGGCCATCTGATGTGACATCTCCTTTTCTGTTTGGTAATACTCTTTTCGAATTGTTTTAGAGCTCGCCCGTCGTCAGTTTCGTCGGTTGATCCTGAATGTCCATGGGCTCCAACTTCCAAAAACAATCAGTATCATGGTCCTTATTTATTTCAGTCCCGTACGGCAGTCTCGACTGATATTACATTCATGCTATTAGTATTATTTATATGTCCAGTTCCGTTCAGTATCGGTCTCGCTTTTGTCTGGAACAGGAAAAATCCTGACTTCAACTCTCTTGCGTTTTGCTCCATTCGATGAATTTGCCCATATAATCCGTGCCGATAAGTATATCAGGTTGTTTCCGATAACTTTTTAAGCCATCTAATTGGCCATACTTCGTCAGTGATGATATATTTTTTTCACTCATTTACACCACTTGCAATTTATTTGTTAGATAATCCTTAATATGCACTTCGCAAGTGATGATCTCTTTCCCTAATATCTTTATGCCAATTTTTGTCTTTGTGGAGTAGTAATTTACCGTAATTTGTCGCCGAACGAAGTAATGCTTATTTCTTCTTCCGTAATTCCTTGCAAACTTAGTCGATCCGCTTAACCCTTTGAAACGGATGACAACTGCGCACCTTGGTCAAATATTACTAGTGCTTGTGTTTCTATCTCCAGAGCTTCGGGATTGACTACGCTAACTTCTTTACACAATAGTAAAATCCTTCTTCCTTGTGGATCCCTTTGACCAGTCACTGAATTAGTTGTATACATTGATTCCACCTTTTCCTTATTTATTTTGTTCGTCTGAATAGCGCTTGTATCATGTCTTTTACATAACGCCGATCTACGAGCGCCCTTGCAGTGGAAGCATCATGTCATTTTCAGTCTATAGTTGCTTGCGGTATGGCCCAATTTCATGCATTTTAGGCAGACGCTAATTTCACTCAAGCACTCTTCAAGGTTAGATAGTTTCGACATTTGTAGTCCCAGTGATCTTCATTACAGAAGATGCAAGATCTTGTTGGGGTTTTCTCAACCTGTTCCCTTTTTAATCCAGTGGCTTCAACCATGGTTAAGGCTGACGTTTCATTTTTGAATTGTCCGCCACTTCAGAACTGTCGATTTATGGTAGATTCAGTTGGCTTCTTCTCGATTCCACTAGTAGAAGTTTGATTTCGAGTTACAGCTTTCTCCGACTTCATCAACTCCCTTAGGAACTGTCTTATTTTGCTTACTGGCCAAGACTTATCTTTCAATCTTTGCTCATGAACCTTGATCAGGATATGCCTTGGCAAGTTCCTTTCGATAATTACTTGTAAACTTGTATGTTCTAGATTTTCTCCCAACTCCTGTAGGAAAAATTGAAAATTAAAGTTTGGTTCATCGGGTTTGATTCGGAAGGGTTTGTTCTTAGACGCATACGAATATTCTGAGAAGGTATTCTTCGTTCGGTTCAGGAGGAAGTTATTCACAGAAGACAGTAGATTGTAAATACACAGAGGATAGTCGTAAAATATCGAAGAGAATAGAGGATACAATGTACGGTGCAGTCCTTGGTTGACTGTTTGAAAAGGAAAATGATGCTCTTCCAGTTATAGCCTTGAGTATATTTACAATTTTAATTGACAGTGAACATATTTGGGGATGTGGTTTATAACAAACATTACATTAGATTTTCCTTTGGTTAAAGAAAAACTGTCAAAATCCGATTACAACAAAAGGCTCTGTTTGCAACATGAAGCATTGCAATTAAGATTGGTTCTTAGACAAAGAAATTTAGCTTATGAGTATGCTTTGTTTCATAAAAAAAAGGGGAAAGGATGTGAACTTAGATAAAGATAACAAAGAAAAACGCATGAGACAATGAATTTGAGGAATGTAAAATTGGTTGAATGATTCATGACATTGTTACAATTTGTGTGATTGATTTTGTACATTGTCGTGAGAAAATAAAAGGAAGGGAGTTAAGAAGGTGAGGTAGACTGTTATTGTTCGTTGTAGAAGCTGTTATAATTTTAAAGGAATGACTTACAATACATCGGTTCGTTTTGTGCTCGCAACTTACAACAGATTATCCTTTATTATCGTCTGGATACCAAATACAGTAAAGACAGGTTCAAATAATTCCAATTACAATCGAATGACTTCCAGGGTAAAGCCAGTAAAATGATGAGATTTTGTAAGGATTAGTAGATTGAAGAGCGTTTGCGTGAACTTGAGTGTCGACAGATGGGATTTTTGTAACAATGAACAATTCTTAGGTTTTCTTATGTTTATATAAGGAGTGTGTGTAAGGAGAAAGGAAAGAAATACGGTGTTTATACGACATACATCAGTTTATTTAATCATTTTATTTTATTTGGAGCTTCGCGATATTCGAAATTTGCGACAACTCCTGCAGTTGTCTGAGCAATCTCCCTATATTTTCAATTGTTGTCATTCAATTTTTTACCTTTTTTTGGCCATTTTTTCTGACTGAGAAAAGATTGTTGTAAAACAAACTTGTGGTAGGATACTTATCACCGTGTTTTTCTATCAATATCTCTGGAATAAAATTGTAGTTCTCTGTGCAATCTCGTATCCCCTTCTGCTTGCAATGTTTCATCCCTTAAACACGAAATAAGATAATTGAGCTTCTGGTTGTCTGAGAGGTCTGGTTGTGTACCGCTGCTTTAAAGCTGCTCCAGAATGCTCTTCAATTTCGAGGATTACCGCCAAATACTGGCAGTTGCAATTGAGGCAGTTTGACTGCCGCTGTTTGAGCTACTTGAAACGTTGTCTCTCTTTCTTGCTGTGACAGTTCTCTCGCGAACTCTCCCTTTGATCTGAGATTACTCAAATTCCCTAAATGTCGAATTTTTTCTTCTGAGTCGTCCTCATATCTTTTTAAAGTTGTCATTGCTTCCAGCCCCTGATTTACCAGCTGTAATATTCCTTGATCATCTATCATTCCCGCGTACTTTCTACCTTCCGTATTGGGAACCGTTTGGATGAAACCATTCTTTGTTGATGCATCCTAATACTCCCTAGCATGCTTCAATTCTTCCTATCATTTCTTTGATAGTTCCCTTTCGTGCTTCATAAAGTTTGCATAACTCTTCTTGAGGTAATTGTATCGAATGATTTCAGATCCAATTTTTTTACTTCATTAAGGACTTTGATTAGCTCCCCCTTCCCGGGTTTGCGCTTTATATTATCGTAAATGACATTACTTCTCGACTCGTGACATCAAAAATTTGTTAGGAAAGCTAATCTGTTGAACTCGTTCCTTAGCGATATAGATTTACTCGGGCTGTAATATTATTCAATTTGTAGTTCAATAGTGAAGAATAAGCGAAGAGGATGTACCATCTGCTCGATTAAAAACACTGGATTTTCCCATATATATATATATATATATATACATATATATATAAGGATTGGGAAGGAGCTTGTAAGCTCCATGGGGGTTATCATGGAGCTACTGATATCTTTGTGTTATGCAGTCTGTTAGCTTATATCCTCTTCATCGCTTTAATTTTACTTGCAAGATTTCGTCACCCTGTCTGTTGGATATTGTAGCAATTTTATTTGAACATAGCTTCAATTTCGGCAATCCGATACTTGTAATATAAAGTTTTGTAATTATTCTATAAATATCACGACTTATTCTGCGCATAGATTTGCTGGATAGTATTCCAATTTTGCGTGATCAATGATTCCATATAATGCGTTTGCACCATGCGTGATTTATCGATAAATGAATCGATACCCTTATCCGAAATTTTATAAAATACCTTGTTATCGACAACCTGCAAATTTATTTTTGTGATAAATGAAAGTCGAAGGATTTAGCACTTAAAAATTTCCATGGTAAACCATTGTTTAAGATGCAATACTTCAGAGCGTTTACAAAAAAAATTTGAAAAAATGAAGTAAGCTAATCGAACATGTACCGTAGCAACAAATTTGACTACTTGCCATTAAGAGCTCTTATACTCACTATAAATATCTTTCGAATCCCATCTATACTATATATTTAATCATTTTCAATATAACTTTTCGAGACAACAGAACGTCCATGCTGATGTCTGACATCAAAGAACGTATGAAAACAATAATCCTAGCCATTTATCGGGCAAAATTCGCTATCGAACCTCCAATAAGTATCATAAGAATCATGATAATCATATAAACAGTAGAAAAAAACCAAGGAATTGAAAAAACTAAGATCAGCATGATAGTTGCTGGAAAATGGTAAAATTAAGGAAACGCTGGAAGTGAATTATTCAATCAGAATAGCTTAAATTTCGAAAATTATAAAACAGTGATTGACTATTGAGAGGGACGATCACTTATTTCGAAATAGTCAACAATATTTTAAACTTTAAACACAAAGTGACAAGCACGTTTTTTAGATAAGCATATCTCGAAGTAGAATGCAGAAGTTACCATAAAAATCTGGCAAAACCTAGAATGTGTTGAAATAATGTCAGAAAATATTTAAATAAAAAGTAATGGATGATGACACAAGTAATGGTAGTGGATGGTGACACAAATTAAAAGTAAAATAATGGTAAATTAAGAAAATTACAATTAAAATAAGAAAGTCAGTACGACAAGTAAATCAAGTTCAACAGTCATGCCAAATCCTAGAAAATGAAACAGACAGATTATGATTTTAAGAAAAAAGTAATTTACTTCTTCGGGCAATTGAACACTTCGATACAGTGGTGTAAACAATTATCATAGACTAGTTAGGATTGTAAGGAAAGAAATAGTTCTGATTAAGAAAGATGAAAGTAGTGATTTAAACTCCAGCAAATACCATCGATAACTTATATTTACCTAAAATGATTGAAGTGTTAGAAAGGATGATTGCCAATAGCACACAGATATACTTCAGCAGTGTATTTCCAAAGCAAGAAAAAGGATGCAAACACCTAAAATCTAATGTGAAATGATAATTGGTAACGAATAGCGTAATAATGAAGAGCATACGAGTAAGATGGAAAAGTTGATAACATCGTGTGGAAGATCATATGGAAGTGTGCAATTCCTTACTACACAAGATGAATCTAAGAGGAATTCAAACAGGATTTGCAACATTATCAGGAGATTTCGTTTAGAAAGCATAAAGAAACGAATAACAACTTTGATACTTAAGAGCACTACATCCACAATGTTTTACTTTTATTAACAGTTCATGAAAATTCCGCATCGTCTTGATCAATCATAACTGCAATGATATCACACAGCAATGAAGAAAAATTCGATATAAGAGAGGTCAAATTAATCGCTTGAGTTATTAATAAACATGTTAGCGGTGATATTCAGTAGAATCAGAGATAGGAAAATGTGCAAGCATCAACTGAAAAGTGTGAAATAACGTAATCCGACTAGATAAAACTACGAAAGTAGAACACTCTTCGAGAACTTAAACAATGTAAATATCGTCAATATTGTCATATAATAGGGTCTTAAGAACGAGTGTCTGTTAGATATTTTTAAAAAAGTTAGATAATGCTAAAATTAAAATTAAATAAAGATAAAACAATTCATCCAAGACAATAGGAATGGTTGAATGAATTTAAAATGAGTTAGAACAAAATAAATGCAAAAATAAAAATAAGCTAAAACTGTAAGTTACTGCATCCATGCAGTAATATCATTATTACAAGCAGAATGTTGAAGAGGTTAATGAATGATATGTTAATGTAAATAAGAAAAGAAATGGTGGCCTAGGTAAGGAAATATTAACAGAAATTTACCCAAGGAAAGTATTCCAATTAATCAGTTCATAAGTTGAAAAAAAAACCAACCAATACACGAAGTGTTTTTTTTTCTTTTTTTGCAAACCACTGATGGGAAAGGGAACAAAGGAACGAGCTGGTTGGTTATGGCCAAAAGACTGAATAAATATTAAATAAAATTGGATATTGAAAATTAATGTTATAGGCAAAACATATTTCAAAAAATCTGAGGGAAAAAAGAAATCCCAACTGACAGTAAGTCTGATTGAACCATAAATATAACGAAATAGTTAATCATCTCAGCGGTTGTGACAAAATCGTGTAAATCATTTTTTTGATGTAATATACTTGAATACACACATACTTGAAATATTTGAAACACAACTTGAAATAAACATAAATTTGGAGAAACATCTAGAGCTAACAGCGGTGAACAGAATAACTACGATACCAATGAAGCAAATGAGATGGCATTTTCTGCTGCGAACTAATACTGAGAAAATACCATGCTTATACCTGGCAGGTAAAAGAACTGAGAAAATATTATTATTAAATAATATTGTTAATATTATCATTATTTATTAAATATAATGACAATGATGATGATGATAGTAATTAATAATTAACAATAATAATAATAA